GAGATAAGAGTCTCATGGACTTTCTTGCCCAAGGCTGGCTTTGAACTTCCTGAGCAGCTAGGATTTGAAGTGTGAGCCACCAGTGCCTGACTTCAATTTTTATTTCCTTGATAATTAGTGATTCTAATTTTTTAGGAACCTGTTGTCCATTTGCATATCTTTTGAGAAATGTCTATTTAGATCCCCTGCCCATTTTTCATTTGCTGATTTGTCTTGTTGCTATTGAAATGGATGAATTTTTTATATTAGCCCCTTAAGAAATGTACTGTTTGCAGTTATTTTCTCCATCCTGTAGGCTGTCTCTTCATGCTGTTGATTATTTCCTTTGCTGTGCAGTTCCCTTTTTAGTTTGGTGTGATCACATTAGTCTATTTTTGATTTTGTTGCCTATTTTTTTAGAGTCAGAACCAAAAAAGTCATTGCCCAGACCAATGTCACAGAGTTTCTCTACTGTTCTCTTCTAGTAGATTTACAGTGTCAAGTCTTTAGCACACTAGAGTTTATTTTTGTTTATATTGTGAAATAAAGGTCTAATTGCATTCTTCTAAATGTGTATATCCAGTTTTCTTATACCCTTTATTGAGGAGCCCATTTTCCCATTGTATGGTGTTGACCACTTTGTTGAAAATCAGTTGACCATGAATGGGAGGATTTTTTCCAGGCTCTAGTCTGTTCTTAGGGTTTGTCTATGTTACGACACTACATGCTGGATTTTTGTAGTTGTTGTTTTCTTTTTTGTTTGGTTTTGTTTTTGTCGGTCATGGGGCTTGAACTCTGGGCCTGGGTGCTGTCCCTGAGCTCTTCAGCTCAAGGCTAGCACTCTACCACTTGAGCCACAGTGCCACTTCCGGTTTTCTAGTGGTCTTTATTGAAGTAAGAGTGTCATGGACTTTCCTGCCCAGGCTGGCTTTGAACTGCGACCCTCAAATCTCAGCCTCCTGAGTAGCTAGGATTACAGGCGTGAGCCACCTGTACCTGGCTCACTACATGCTGTTTTAATTGGTATAGTCTTGCAGTGTATTTTGCAGTCAATATTGTTATGTCCCAACTTTCTTTGTTTGTGTGACTGCTCTGGCTATTTGGAGTCTATGTGGTTTCATAAGAATTTTAGAATTCCTTCTGTTTTGGTGAAAAATGTCTCTGGAATGTCAATAGGACTTAACACTGAAACTAATTGCTTTGAGTCCAATGGATGCTACAACCCTTCATTCTTCCCTTCTGTAAACAGAATCGAGATTTTTGTATCCTCCTCAATTTTCTTCACTGTTTATAAGTTTCCACCGTACAAGTATTTCATCTCCTTGATTAAATTTACTTTCTACTCTTAAGTGTTTTATTTTATCTTATGATGACCTTTTTTTGCAGGCAACAGCCATTTGTTCATTTTAATTATTATTTGGTATTTCATGATGTAGCTATACAACAGTGTATTTATCCATTCTTTTGTAGATGGATATTTGGGTTGATTCTGACTTTCAGTGTAATAAAGTGGACTATCTAAACATTCTCATTCGCATGCATAATTTTAGGTGAACATGTTGCATGCATTTCTGTTGGACATAATCTTAGGAGTGCAATGAATAGATAGTGGAGCTTGTGCTTGCTTATCATTAGTAGATATGGTGATAGCGTGCACACACACACACACATACACACACACACACACACACACACACACACACACACACACACACACCACTGCCTGGCCAGTGCAGGAGAGCTCCATTAGAGCTTCCTTTTTTCTTTACTGTTTTTTTCCCTCTCCTTTTTTCCCCCTTTTTGAGCTGCTGAGGATACAAGTCAGGGTCTTATCCATGCTCTCTTACTGAGCTGTACCCCAGCGCCCTTATGGTGGTTTTAAGTTATATTTCCTTGGTGATTAATGGAGCACTTTTTCTTCTGTTTACCAGCTGTTTGGATCTGCTCCTTTCCCATTTCCTTCTAAGAATACTGTTTTGCTTTCCAGTTAGATTTGTCATCTACCTGGAATCGATTTTGTGTAGCGTGTGAGGTAGGGGTTAAGATCAATCTTTTCCCATTGTCAATCTACCCAGTACCACTTATTAAAAAGGTGATCTTTTCCTTCGTGCACTATGGTCAGAAATGAAGCATCCCCATATTTGTGGCTATTTGGAACTTCCTGTTCTGTTTCACTGGTCTGCCTGTCTACCCCGCACTGTCTCAGGGATCTGAACCCTGTGATTGGCTGTGGGTCCTCCAGTTTGCTCTTGTCAACGGCGTTGACTGGTGCTGGCCCTTTGTCTCCTACCTCCAGACAAGGACCAACCATGCCAGAGACCACTTGTCCAGGGTCTCACAGCTTAGGCCTGTGTTGGGGAGCTAAAACCAAGGCTCAGGAGCTAGAGAAGGAATAGGCTGTAGCAAAGGGTGCCACACCTGAAACCGTCTTGGCACCCAGCCATCAGGAAGAGCAGGAGGGGAAGGGAAGCCTGGCCTAACGGGATGGGGCGGGTTGGTTCTGGGACTGGGCTTCTGCAAGCTGCTTTCCCTGGGGAGCCCTGGCTCTCAGGAGCTCACTCCTCCCACCTCAAGATAAGAGCTGGTCCCTTCATTACAGTTGAATGCCTGGCCCCTCCCCCCGTCGTGGAGCCTGGAATAAAGAATGGTGCTGAACACAATCCCTGTGGAAGAGGGGGATGCTCTGGGCTGGGAGAATGGACAAGGAGTGGGCAGGCAGACACAATGCAATGGGCTCTGTCTTTTGCGGGGAGGAGAGCTCCAGCATGGCAAGATGAGGACTGGATTGTAGAAACCGCAGCATGTGCAAAGGCCCTGCGTTAACCACTTTCGGGGAACTGGAAGGAGCTCAGAGGCCTCGGGTGGAAGGATACTGTGAGGTGGGCAGAAATGGAAAAAGAGTGCTGATTATCAGGGCCGCTGGGAAGAATCTTAGACAGTCCTGAACACCTCCCAGGATTGGGCCCAGCTCTAAGGCACTGCAAAACTGCTCAGGGGAGGTGAAGCACTCTGCCCAAAGCCCAGGCAGCCTGTCTCTGAAAAGGCCAGCGCCCAGACATTCCAGCATAAGTGGTTCAGAGTCAGCCTGGCTGGCAGGGATGAGCGGGAGAGAGGCTGAGCTGAGTCATATCCAAAGGGGGCCAGCCCTGCCCCTGTTTTCCCCCTCTACCTCCCTCAGCCACCCCATCAGCCCCACCTCTTCCCCTGGGAGCAGCCCTTCCCCAAGATGTTGGCTTCTGAAGGCAGGAGGGCAGCCAGAACCCTCATTTTTGCATCAGCCTGTCTGTGTGACCTCAGCCCACCTGCTCTTCCTCTCTGGCCCCCTGGGTTTAGAAATACTGGAAACACTGAGCTGGTTCCTGGGCTCCTGCTTCAGCTTCTCCGATCTAATTCTTACAGATTAAATTGCTTTCTGAGCCTCAGCTTCTGGAAACCACGGTGGGGTGCAGTGCTAGTAACTGCTTCGTGCCTGGCCCCTTTATCTTCCCTCAGCCTCCAAGTCTGGGAGGAGGACTGGAGGAGCTGAGGCTGTTTATCTCCCCAGACAGCAGAGAGGCCAGAGAGATCACACCGCCCTGCATGCATGGATGGTAAAGATGAAAGCTGGTGTGGCTTTGTGGAACAGGACACAAACAAACACCCTCAGGAGGTGGGGATGGGTCCTTCCTGCCCTCCTTGCTGTCCTTCCATGTCCACACTGCCCTGCGTAAACTTTTTTCCCCTTCCTGTGAGGCCTAGCTCAGGCCCCGGGTACAAGGTGCCAGGATCCTGGGTCCAACATGGGACTGTCCAAGTCTGAAGACCTTAGTTCGAGTCCAGACTCCTACCTGGAACTTGAGCGAGTTACCTCATCTTACCTCATCGCATGCCAGCACTTGCAAAAGAGTGGCAGCGGAGCCATCCAGCAGTGGACAAAATAATAAGAGGCTGGCATGGGGTAGGGGCCAGAGAGATCATGTTTCCCTGGGACTGAGAAGAGGCTGGCCACATCATTCTCCTTCCCCTACCCTTGGGCATTTTCCTACTGTTGAAGCAGGTGTTCCTGTCATTGAGATGGGAGAGGGGAGGTCAGAGAGGTTGAGTAACTTGTCCAGGGTCACCCAGCAGAAACTTAAGTGGTGCAGTCAGGATTGGCATCTACATGAATCCTGTTTGGACACTTTGCTTCCAGAAGCCCATCTACCATGCCTCGGTTTCCCTCAGGGCTAGACTGTGACACTGTGGCCTGTACCTAGATGGGGATGGCAGTGTCACCCCAGTCTGGCATGGGAGGAAGAGATCCAGGGGTGTTGAGCCTTGCCTGCTGGCCTGGGTGGGACAGCCACTCAGGTGCAGCCCTGCTGCCTCCCCTCTTCCTCTTCCTCTTCCTTCCCCTGCTTCCTTCTCACTTCCCTCCCTGAGGCCTCCCCAACCACATTGGTCTAGTCTCTGTCCCTTGAATTTGGTCAGCATGTGGGTACAAGGTACAAGGCTCCATGTGGGGCCCCCAATTCCCGCCTGTGAAGGGCAGACCGGGCACCTGCTCCCTTCCTGCAGTGATGTGCGTAGGAGGGCGGCGTGCCTGAGAGGAGCAGCATGGGCTGTGAGTGATCCTGGGCCCCTGCCACAGGTTTGCCCGCCCTGTTGCCTAGAGGTGAGGGTGGGGAGGAGAGCACCCGCACCTGTACGCATGGCCGACTCCTGTGGGTGTGACTGTGGCCTATGTGGCTTTCTCTGGGGAGGTGTAGGGAAGGAAGGCTAGTCAAATGAAGGAAGGGAGGGAGGGAGGCGGGTGTGGCCCCGGCCAGCCCTGAACACTGCACTGCAGCCTGTGATCTGCTATCGCCCCTGGGCATCAGAAAGGAGAGAATGCGGTAGCAGAGTGGGGCTTGTTTGGGGGGACCAGCTGTGTGGCCTCTGAATCTTTGTGCCCGTCTGTGTGATGGGGGAATGATGTCACTGCTCCCTGGGCTGCTGGGGAGCACACAGGAAGCCCAGGTGCCTCTGAGTGATGGTCTTCCTGCCTTCCTGTCCTCCAGGTAGTTCCCCCTCCCCTCCGGGGGCAGCAGCCACCATGTTCTCCTGCGTGAAGGCCTATGAGGACCAGAACTACTCGGCTCTGAAGCGAGCCTGTCTACGCAGGAAGGTGCTCTTCGAGGACCCCCACTTCCCTGCCACGGATGACTCCCTCTACTACAGGGGCACCCCAGGGCCCACTGTCAGGTGGAAGCGGCCCAAGGTCAGTGTCTACAGCCAGGGAGCAGGCCCAATTCTCCCTTGAGCTTTGGTTGTCCCTCCCCTTCTTGCTTGGAAAACAGGAGGGGTCCAAATGGGGCCCCTTGCTAGGGGACTTGAGTTGGAGGGGTCTGAGAGGGGCAGTGGTCACCCTGCCCAGCCAAGCCCACATGGGAAGGCAGGCCCTGCTCTTTCCCAGGGAGATTGTGGGGTACATGTGAAGTGATGTGCACAGGATCTCTCCACATCTCCACCTCTTTTTGTGGCTGTTCTGGTGCTTGGACTCAGAGCCTGTCCCTTACCTTTTCATTCAAGGCTGGTGCTCTAATCACTTGAGCCACAGCTCCACTTCTGGCTTTTTGCTGGTTAGTTGGAAATATGAGTCTCATGAACTTTCCTTCTTGGGCTAACTTGGAACCATGATCCTCAGATCTCAGCCTCCTGAGTAGTTAGGGTTAGAGACATAAGCTACTGACATAAGTACTGGGATCTCTGTTTAGGAAAATATGCAGCAATGCTCACATTGCAAGACATTTACATTCCTGGTTACTACAGTAATTGTTGGTTGGTTTGTGGTTTTTGGTTGTGGGGCTTGAACTCAGGGCCTGGGCACTGTCCCTGAGCTCTTTTGCTCAAGGCTAGCACTGTATCACTTTTGAGCCACAGTACCACCTCCAGTTTTCTAGTATTTAATTGGAGATAAGGGTCTTACTGGTTTTCCTGCCTAGGCTAGCTTTGAACTGCGATCCTCAGATCTTAGCCTCTTGAATAGCTAGGATTACAGGTGTGATCCACAGGCACCTGGCTTCTGTCATGGTTTTGAAATGGTCACTTCCTGTCAAAGTGAGGGAATTTATTATGGTTGGTCAGCAGGAACAGTAGTAGAGAGGTGGAGAGAGGTGATATTGCTGTGACTGTTACCCAGTCCAGGGAGCCTGATGGCCAGAAAGAATAGGGGACCTCCCACAGCCACTCCTGACCGTGGGCCCTGAGACCCAAGTGTGCTTTATCCTGCCCAACAGAAATGTCACATGTGTCCCCATGGCAGGACTTTGTCCTCTGGAACTTTGATTCCTCCATATGAGGGTGGAGCTGGGAAGGGTCCCACAGAGTAGAGGGGTTCCCAGCACCTGGAGGAAGGGGAGTCTGCAGGAGAGTACCTCCCCAGAGCCCTTTCTAGGCTGTAGGAGCGTTTAGTGGGGAAAATCCGGCTCTATCTGGTCTCTTGGGCTGGGAGGAGGCTGTGACTCCTGCTGGCCACCACTCAGGCCAGGTGAGGGGCCAGGGATACGGAGGCCGCTGGAAGGAGGCATCAGTGGCAGCACAAGGTGGGGCTGGCATCAGGCTCCCTTAGCCTCAGCTGGGCAGCTGAGCACAGGACAGGTGGGGAGCAAGGGAGAAAGATTCAGGCCTGCAGGTCAGCCCCAAAGGGATGTGCCAGGTGGAAGGGCATGGCCCTCGCTCAAGAGGTCACAGGAACCATCCAAGGCCGGGCTCTCCACAGTGGGCCAAAGTCAGACTGGAGTTTTACACAGGCTCTCAGGTCCCTGAAATCTAGTGGTCAAGTTTCTCTCCTATATGTTGACCTGGACAGGGAACTTCAAGAGGGAGAGAAACAGGTTGAATATCCAGATGATCTGTAAGCTGCTGGCAGAGCAAGGCTGGTGTCCCGGAGCCCAGCTTTTTCTTGGCACCAGCTGGAGGGGCCCTGGTGCTTCTCCCTTAGCCCCCTCCCCCCCCCCAGCTCTGTTCTCTAGCAGATGCTCAGTAGCCACCCTCCTGGGCTGCCCGTGCCTCCTCCCTCTCTGTGTCAGAGTGTATTTATGGGGGTGGGGGACGGGCTCAAAGGGCCTTTGTGAGGCCTGGATGTGGGTGCAGGAGGAGGGAGACACTAGCTCTCTTAGGCTGCTCTTGCTTTATCCCTTGCTACCCTTACTCTGACCTTGTTCCTGCCCTCGGCTGTCACTTATAATGGTTGTGGAGTTGTGGGGTTGTAGGGCCTGATACCCGGCTGACCCCGGCTAGCTTTCTCCTAGGCCCCAAGGAGTCACTGCTCCCTTGGCATCCTGCCACGCCTCCTCTCCCTCAGTGCTTTCCTCCTGGGCACATGCCAAGTGCCACCCTCCTAGCTCATGGAGGAAGTGGACAGAGCACAGCTGTGGCTGGGCAGTGACGGAGTGTGTGTGTGTGTGTGTGAGAGAGAGAGAGAGAATGGTTCAATTCTCTATTGCTTCTGGTCAAGAGCTGAGTCCTACTGGGTGGAGCCTGGTGAGCAGTGGGGGGGGAGGGGGGAGTCCCTGTGGGGTTGGGGTGTAGAACCTTCAGGATGACCAGCTTGTGGAGCAGGAAGTTAGGCCGCCTTGGTCAAGGGTGGGGTAGAGCTAGCTCTTGACCATGAACACCCAGAAACAGGCCTAAGGCAGCTGTTTCCATAAAGTTTAACTCCCTGAGTCTTGTGACCCAACTGTTTACAAACAGCAGAGAGCCATCACTTCCAAAGCCTGAATGGCATCCTTTGCCATTTCTCTCCTGTTCCCCAGCTCTTCTAAGTTGATCATTCTGGTGCCTTCGCTGTCCTTAGAGGTTCCCCTCAGCCAGCCTCTGGGCCTCCCTCCCCCCCCAGCCTCCCTGCCTCCCTGCCTCCCTGCTTCCCAGCTTTCAAACTGGAGTGAATAGCTGGGTTTTTGAGACAGACAGACTTGTCTCCAGCCTGCTTACCTTACTGAGGTAAGGTGTAGCCTTGAACAAGTTACCACCACCCCCTTTCCTGGCCTCAGGTTCCTTACTTGGAGGGAAGGGGCAGGGAAACGGGTCTTGCTCATTGGAGTGGTGTCTGGGAGGTAGAATGACTTGGGAAGTCTGAGGTGTCAGACACATGGAAGCTTCTTCCCTCACCTACCCATCTTCTCCTTGCCCTGTGTTGGGGACCTAGGACAGCCTGGGGTCCCCTATTTGATTGGCTGTGCAGGTGGGACAGGCCTTATCCTTCTCAGTCATGCAGAATACCTGCCCTGGCCCCCACCCCTGCAGACTCATTGTGTTTTGTTCTTTCTGGTGCAGTTAAGGGGGCTGGCCTCCTTCCCAGGCTGATGGGGAGAATAGAGGCAATAGGGCAGAGCCTGGGAGCTCAAGAAGTTCTCCAGTTTCTGGAGCAGCCCTCATCTCTCCTGTCCCTCCCGCCATCCCCTGCCCATCCACAATCTACTTATCCTGAGGCATCAGCCTGGTGGGGGATCCTTGGCGAACTGTAAAATGGGACAAGGAGCCTGGTACCTTTGGTGCACGCCTGTAATCTTAGCTGCTCACGAGGCTGACGATATGGTTTGAAGCCAGCCTGGGCAGACAAATGTGTGGCACTCTTATTTCCAAATACCCAGCAAAAAGCTGGGTACGGGTGGCTCATGCCTATAACCTTAGCTACTTAGGAGGCAGAGATCTGAGGATCATAGTTTGAAGCCAGCCAGGTAAAGAAAATCTGTGAGAGGGGCTGGTAAGTGGCTCAGTGGTAGAGAGCTTACCTTGCATGCATGAGGCCCTGGGTTCGATTCCTCAGCACCACATAAGCAAAAAGAAAAACAAGCTGGAAGTGGTGCTGTGCCTCAAGTGGTAGAGAGCTAGCCTTGAGCTGAAGAGCTGAGGGACAGCACCCAGGCCCAGAGTTCAGGCCATGACCGGACCAAAAAATAAATAAATAAAATAAGAAAGTCTGTGAGACTCTTATCTTCAATTAGACACTAAAAAAAAAAAAAGCTGGAAATGGAGCTGTGGCTCAAGTATTAAGAGCACTAGTCTTGAGCAGAAAAAGTCAGAAGTGGAGCTGAATTCAAGCCCCAGGACTAGCAAAAGAAAAAATAAAAAACCAGAAGTAGAATTATGGTTCAAGCGGTAGCCTTGAGTGAAAAAGCTAAGCAAGAATGCAAGGTCCTGCTGGGCCACTGGTGGCTCATGCCTATAATCTTAGTTACTCAGGAGGCTGAGAACTGAGGATTCCGAGTTGAAGCCACTCCAGACAGGAAATTCTGTGAAATTCTTATCTCTAATTAACTACAAGAAAACCAGAAGTGCTGGGGCTCGAAGTGCTGGAGTGCTAGCCTTGAATGGAAGCGCTCAGGGACATTGCTCAGACCCCAAGTTCAAGCCGCATGACCCACCCTACCCCCCAAAAAAGAGAAAGAGTGCAAGGCTCTGAGTTCAAGTCCCAGTACCAGCACAAAAACGGGGTGGGACGAGGAGAAGTCTTACAAATAGATGTCAGTTTGGAATTCCCCCAAAATAGCCTGGTAGTTCTTTTTTTTGGGGGGGGGGTCTGGTTGTGGGGCCTGAACTCTGGGCCTGGGCGCTGTCCCTCAGCTCTTCAGCTCAAGGCTAGCGCTCTACCACTTGAGCCACAGCGCCACTTCCGGCTTTTTTCTTTTTGCTTATGTGGTGCTGAGGAATCGAACCCAGGGCCTCATGCATGCAAGGCAAACACTCTACCACTGAGCCACCTTCTCAGCCCCCAGCCTGGTAGTTCTTACCGAAATTGCTAGGGTTTTTTTCCTTCCTGGGGAAGGGGCTGCTGATTCTCAGTTATACTGTACATTAGACCTCAGAAGAAGCTACCTGTGGACGCTGAGACCTGTGGCTAGGTGGGCCTCTGCCCTGTCCAGGAATGGACCCCCAAGATGGTCAGTGCAGTGAGCCTTATCAGAGGAGGTGGCATGCAGGATGGGCACTGTGGAAGGAGATGGAGGAACACGGAGGCTGGGAGAGTTGCAGAGGAGGGCCAAGACTCCCAAGACCAGTGCTGCCCTTCTCTCCTAGCCCAGGCTCACTCTCCCAGTGTTGATTTCTTCTGTGATCTGAGGATATCCAGGAAGGGTGAGGGGGTGATGGTGGGCGCAAAGGGCAGGGAGCTCTGCCGGTGTGACCTAGCCAAGGACCCGCTGCATTCCTGGTGCTGCATTCCTGCTTGTGCACCGGGGCCTGGAAACCTGAAATTCTTGCTGGGCAGAGGGGGAGGTG